ATCCCCTGATGTGTGTTTGGTCAAGAGCGCTCAGACACACCTGACTGCTTAATATATCCCACAGCAGCGCTCCCACATGCAGCTGGATGGGGTTGAGTTACACAGAGCAGGATCAGCAAACTGAATTCTGTGCCTTAACTCAAAGTGTGTGACGGCCCTCGTGGTTACTCTGAGGTCAGGGGCGAGGTTTGTAAGAGAGTGTGCTGCAAAGGGAAAGGCCTGCAAGACACCAGCATTAAGTAGTAACAGCTACTCATTTATTGAGCAACTAGCACTGTGTCAGTCAGATGAGAAACTATATGCTAACATGTTTTTCCTAAACAGAATAAAGTGAAACAACACAGCGACCATCTCTAATTTAGAGTATGTGTCAGTCCTTCAAAGAGCGGCACAGTTTGAGGACACAGACGGCTCCTTGATGCAGTTAATGTCAGCATGAAAATTTAATTTCGTCTGTAATTTATTATGCATCAGTACTATTGGCTAACAGCAGGACAGTATATGCTAACAAAATGCACCACTCAGAGCCATGCTAAATGTGTCAGAGGGAATCCTCTTGATTTGTTTTTTCCCTGAGATGCGAGCATAAAATTTTAACACATTTCCCAACCAGCCCCATCTGGACTGGTCATTAGACAGCCATGCCCTCCTTTCCCTAATACTGTTAGAAACTAGCTGGGTCCTGACCAGGTTGGTGTATGCTAATAGCTATTATATGCTACCAACAAACAGAGTTAGTACTTCAAAAACTTTCAGTTCACAATTAAATGTCTATCAGTGTTTTTTGACTTGTGGCTCCGTGTTGCAGTAGTTAAGGCTTCAGGCCACCAAAGATTATTGGGGAAAACTGTGAAATTCGGTAACCAGGGAGTGGGTACAGGAGGTTGCTGGCCAGGTAAAATCGATCCATAATCCACATTGATCCATACGATGACCTGTCTGCAAACGCTCGCCATTTACTCTCCGAGCTCCAGAGAAAGGTGTGGCTTTCTGCTACAATCAACACAATTCAAAAGGTACATCACACCTTTCACAGTTTCACAACTGCTTGATGTGTCGTGTTTTTGTGTTTCAAACTGTGGGCAACCAGGTCAATCTGCTAGTGGCCAAAACAACTGCAAAGAGGTTTTCATTGCTGTACTACAAACCTTTTTGCAACCAATTTCACTTAGTGACTGATAGGAAAGTCCAGCGCCAAAATCCAGGAATACATATTTATTCCTAATGACTGGTGATTGTCAAGGCTGGTCTCTAGACTCCTGTGATTGGGGCCTAATATATATGCCTTACACACAAAAGATTACCAGTTTCAGACCAGAAGGAGACACAAACCCAGCCTCACAAGCCAGTCATCTTCTATTGCAGGTCCCAAATTCAGATAAATGAAAATGCTGCATCAGAATGGCATCCAACATCTAAAATATATAACAATAAATCTGTGCCAAATCAAACATGTGGATCCAGCTGTTGTGGTAAAGTCTTCAGAAATACTTAAAAAAAATCTGAGCAGTTTGAGGCATAAATGAAACTCTACATGATTTTCTCTGTAGCTGTGCACACACGTAATGATGGATAGACTGAAAACCTTGTGGCGTAGATGAAAATATCACAACTAAAATCATCATCCAGGAACCACAAATACAGGTAAAAAATGTCACTACAATCTGTAAAATATAACCATCAAATATAAATTATTCTTTACTCGACTGACTTTACTAGGCTGCTCTTGGAGCTCGTGTATTTGTCCTTTTTTGTCGGAGAATGACAAAGTCTGGTCTACTTTTTAAAGAAAACAGGGAATACTCACTTATCCTGGATTGTTGCAGTCAAAAACTTAAAGGATGAATCACTATTCATTAGTGAATAACAATTCTAAAAACTACTACACACCGATCTCTTTCACACATCGCTGTCATCTTTACATCATCCTGTGGCAAGAAACAGCATCTGGTGTGCGTTTGTGTGCGTAAGTGAGTGAGCGCTTTTGGATATGATTACACAGCGCCAACAGCTACACCCCAACTCGGAGACACGCTTCCAAATCCCAAAGTAAGGCTGACACACATACACACACGCACACACACACAGACAAAATAACACAGTCAAGCAAGAAGAAGCCACACCCTGTTTTCACAAGATGTAAACCACACTGATTCACTGACACACAGAGAGACACACGGCCAAACGCTCCACCCTGACACATAGACAAACTGCTCGTAAAGTATCCAGCCAATGTGTGTGAGTGCAACCAGAGTCAGAGAATATCTCTCAGAAGTTTAAGGAGGAGAAAACAAGCTTATACACAATTATTCACTCGCTCAAAGTCACCTTCAGATTGGCTTCTGTTTGGTGGAGTTATTCTACTGTTTCATCTAAAGTGAAAAGGTCAAAAAAAGTGGAAATCGCATCAACGTAGCTTCAAACACACACACACACACACACACACACACACACCCATATAAAAAGAAATGGACCAAAACTCACCCCCTCTGTCTTGTTGTGCCTCAGATCTTTTTGCTTTAAAGCAAATGTTCAAGGATGAAGACGAAGAAACACGGAGACCTTAAGAGTGTGAAGGAGTGTGTGAGGTGAAAGGAAGACGAGACGAGGGAGGAGGAGCTGTTTGGCTCACTAGCAATCCTCTTAGCCTGGTTATGTCATGGGACCAAGCTAATCCTACCTTCACTGACTGACCCACACACACACACACAGAGGATGACCATCCAGCAGACTGACCACCACCAATACGCACAAAAACAGTCTATGACTGGCTAGCCGAGGCCTAACCCAGATATACAAAGCAAATGTGCAGTTTGTGCTGAAACACAATGGTTTGGATGGTTCAAAATAGCTGTTAGTGACAAATTAAAAGCACCAAACATGAGGTCAGTTGCTCTTTTTACTGCATGACCTCAAGATAACAGGATAAGGCACGCTGGCAAAGCAAAACATGGTTAGCTGAAGGACTGACTCAGGCTGGTGACAAAAGACTAATTACCCTTTTTTTCTCTTTGTGAATTTATAAACAGCAATTACAGTGTGCGTGTATAGTGCATGTGCTGTGTTTGTGTGCTCGCATGGTTGTTCCTGGTAGAACAGTTCAATCATCACTGTCACTAATCCCCCGGCTAATCCGCTGCACTACACACACAGACAAATACATACACGCAAACGTGCACATGCATTGTGCTGTACGTGTGGGAATACTGGCTCACAAAGACACACTCATACAATTACTTCGCTGCGACTACGGGGTTTATTTTGTATTCCTCAAATTAAATGCTATTAAGGAAAGTTTAAAGAGCCAGATGTCTTTTATCCTTCGCTGACTGGGATTATTTCTTGCATTTATTTTGAAAGTCAAACCCAAAAGCTATCAAAATAAATTATAGGAACATTTCTGCAAACAGAGGGTATGACTAACCAAATCCACCTTTAAAGCTCACCAATAAACACTTAGTGTATCTCTATTGGTCCATGCATGAAACACCAATATGTGCGGTACAAACAAGCTTGGTTAACCCTTTTAGATTGCCAGATATCCCTTTAGTTTATGGGTCACATTCAGTCCAATCTGATCTCAAGTGGGCCGGACCTGTAAAACTGCTGCATGATAACCAAAGTGTCTTTTAATGCTTACATCATTTCTTCATCATTTTACAAAAACAGCCCGAGTAGTTAATTTCAGCAGCATGTATTATTACATTTGCAAATCACAGCGAATCTGTAAAAGCAAAAACATGTTGACTTTGAATTTTGAATTCTAACCATTTCAGATCTAGAATTGACTTTCCAGATATTTCTATGTATGCAAAAGACTGCTGACATGACATCACCAGGAGCAGCAGTGCAGCTTATTAAAAAAACAAACAAATGAGAATAAACTGCATTTTCCATTCTTGCAAAGACATCCAGGTGACCTTTTGACCCCCGGGCTGCATGTTTGTCACCTCTGTGCTAGTATACTTTACCTTTACAGGCCACGATTTCCCTCCTTTTCCAGTCGTTGCTCTTGCCACAGTTTCTAGCAGTAAGCAGAATCCAAATGCAGGACTCGCAGACAAAACAAAGTAAATGAAAACTAACCTTCAATTAAGTCAACAAAAATAACACTCCAAACTCTTGGAGAGAGCACACACAGGGCATTAACACACACAAAAACAACAGGAAACTGAGGCTATATACAAACACACAGACATGCAATCAATGGAAGAGGAAACAGGTGGGAAATGGGGCACAGCTAAAACTAATCACATACAAAAGAAGTAAAACTAAATACAAAACACGAGAGACTAATCATGACGACGAAGAAGATGCGGGAGAAGATTAATAACTCAAAGAACACAAAATCCAAGCAAAACACAAAACCTTAAACAGAAGCTAAACAAGGAGAAATAACCTGAACCTCACAATGACAAAACCCACAGGCCATGATGGCGCTATGCCAAACTGGCTGCAGGTTAAACCACAGACAGCCCAAAGCTGTGGCCTGAAGAGGCCGTGTGCTATCTGGAATCAAGGAAGTCATAACTGACATGGATGGTCTCAAAGCTGTGGATGTTTGTTTGTGTGCTGCAGCTCTTCACCGAGTCCTCATCTTCAAATTTTATAACAGAGGTGTTTTGATGAAATTTTACAAACCTGAACCTAACGTGGAGCTTCAGAGGAACAGAAACAATCCCAGTTTAATAAATCAGAATATTCTTTTGGTGCATGCACATCAGTATGAATCCTGCAGTTTTAGAAATAAAACCTCTGATATGTCATGCTTAAATAACTGCATGATATATATTTTTTGTAGTTACATATACAAAACATAGACTGTGTGTATAAACATGCTGTAACTGTACAGAATCAAAATCTCAGGAGACAATGAAAGCCTGGATGTTGAGGTTGAGCCAATTGGAGATGCAGAACGTGGCCTGTCGTGTTCCTCATGTGTGTGTGTGTGCGTGTGTGTGTGTGTGTGTGTGTGTGTGTGTGTGTGTGTGTGTACCAACCTTGTCATTAGCACTTTCTGCTGTTGCTGCTGTGGTCCAGCTCTGCTCCAAAGGCTGCTGACTTCCTGCATATAAATGAACAATGAAAAGAAAAGTGTGCAGAGATATTGAAACAGCATATTAAAACTGGACCTGGGTGTGCTGAGCCCTGTGACCTGGCAGACATGTGACTGACACACACAGAAACAGAGCCTTGGCCTTAATTAACCACCGAAGCGCGCGTGTTCGCCTTATCGCAAGGATAAACGAACAGGATGTGAAAATCTGCTTTCTTTTCCCGTCCACCGCATACTAATCATTATTATTATTTTAACACTGTATTTTCAAAATAGAGAATATTTACAGCAAATACTGACGACATAATTGGTGTTCACAAAAAGAACAATAACAATATAGTAAAAAAAAGAGAGAAAATCCTTTTTTTGCACCCAAAAAGAAAAAAAGGGATCCACTTATCTGTCCTTATATGTCATAATTAATTATTATGACATATTAATATCTTCAGTTGAATGTAAGCTCTCCTTTAAGGATGTCAGCACTAGGGATGGGTACCGTCATGGCACCGGTTCTGACATAAACGGTAGTAACCAGACCGAAAAGCAGCGCACATTTCGGTGCTTTATTTCGGTGCTTTTTTTTTCCTGAGCTGTGATACACTTTAGATTCTAGCCAATCATTTTACGTTTCCGAGGATAGTAGGCGGGGCCAGGTACGTACGTTCTTTTAGAGCAGAGCTACAGATTAAAAATGTCCAAGGAGGACCGGTCAAAAGTCTGGCTGTACTTCACAGCAAAATATGCAAACTCAGCAGCCTTCAACAAGTGCTTTAAGCTGATTGTGATACTGTCAAAGGAGGTAACACCTCAAATCCGATGAAACACCTGGCGACGCATAGCGTTTTTTTTAAAAGCCCAGAAATGCGCCGTATTTGATAGGTTGCTGCGAGACCTCACACCGTGCACATCTACTGCGGGTGGGTTGCCAGTTATCGGAGCCGGAGCAACATCCCCCAAAAACCCGAAGAATAGAGTCCTGGCCCCTAGCTCTGCCAGTGTAGCAGAAACAATGACGGATGATGACGGCAGCAGCAGCCGTTCTTCTCTGCGTGAGTAGCTTAATGTTGTTCGTGTGTAATTTACGTTGAGTAGGCTAACCACGTTATTACATTAATGCATGTAAGGTGAACTAGCAAACATCATCATAGCTACATGCGGCTGTCTTCTTGTTTGATGGCAGATGCTCCCTTCACCCTGGCCAAAAAGGCTAAAATGACCAAAGAAAAAGTGGAAAACAGTTAAACTTGAGAGGTTTTTGGAAAAAGTTTGTGTTTTTTCCATTGTTTAAGCACTGCTTCTAGCCAAGAGTGATACCATATATGCCCCATAGCTGCAGAAAAGGCTAACATTGTTATCTTTTCACAAAAAAACAGCTGAACATGAGAGGTTTTTGGACAAAGTTGGTGTTCTCCATTCTTTAAGCACCGGTTTGAGTACCGTTTAAGCACCGGCACCATTTCAAAAGTACCGGTTTGGCACCGGTATCGGATAAAACCTAAACGATACCCATCCCTAGTCAGCACATAGATCACTGGGCAGCCCCAATAAAAATTGCCCAGGATCTTTACAAACTTTACTTTTTACAACTCCACTTATCTTTTAACTACATATTTCCAAAACTTGGAAATATAAGGGCATTCCCAAAAACAGTGAATACACATTCCTAGGGGGTGACCTGTTGGAATGTATTTGATTCACCACAGGACACCATATTTTCCATGTATTATCTTATATTGAATTCCTTTATTTATTACTTAGAAATAAGGAATGGGATCATTTACACTAAACCTCCCAAATATCCTCACCATAGGCTTTCTGTAAATCATCCTGAGAACATTCCCAGCATTGTGATTATATTATTTCTGCAGGATGTTGTAAAAACCCAAAATAAAACCTTTATTTAAAGCAAACTTCACAATAATTTTCTATGGAGCCTGGAAGTGAGCAGGAATCCTGCGACGTCACATAGTGACAAATTTGAAGATATGCATAAAAATCTTTCTGAGGAAGGCCAAAGGTATTTTGAAACTGGGCAAAGGTCATAAGTTTGTTATTTTCATCAAACAGGTCTGCTGTTAGTTTGACACCTTTTCTGCACCAGGATCCAAATACAAGCAGGGAGAAAATCTCTCTTGCTGAGAGGAGGTGTAATGTGGGTAACTAAATCCTTCCTACCAATTTATGTCTGTTTATATCTCGCCATCTTATCATTGTGTTTGGAAGAATTGGATTGTCTTTCGTTTTGAAGCTGGGTTTATTTTCTACATGTAAGCTCTCCTACTAAATCAAAGGCATTACATCCCCATTTCTCAAAAGGAGTTTAAGATAACAGTAAAGCCACTCATGGATGAGCCTGCCATGACATGCCCAATTATAATGTCTAATGTTAGGGAAGGATAAACCTCTGCAGAGAGCTGCACAGTCTTCTCCCTTGCCAAATAAATTTAGAAAAGTCTTTTTCAGTCTCTTTTGCTATCTTAGAAATATATAGTGGTAACAACTGAACAGAATAAAGTAATCTTGGCAGGATATTCATCTTTATAAGAGTTATTCTACCCATCCATGAAGCTGTCAGATTCATCCATCTTGTAAGGTCCTTCCTTTTTTTTTTTCTTTTTGCACTCTGGTCAAATTGTGCCTCAAGAAGGTGTCAATTCAGAGTCAGTCCAGAAGAAAGGGGAAACAGATGGATGTGAAGTTTTACTATAAAACCAACTGGCATTGCTCTTGATTTTATCAAAGTTAATTTTATAGCCTGAGATCCAAAAAAGATAAACCCCCTGACGAGTGAGGCTCTTATCGCCCAACTAGCTTAACCAATGTTGACGGCAAAACTTTCCCCAAAATCCTGGTTAAAAGATTCGAGAACTATCTCCCTCTCTTAGTTAAATCAGACCAGACTGGTTTAGTTAAAAACAGAGCACCTCTTACAAACATGAGAAAATTATAATTATCCTGTTTTCTATAGTGAATAAGATACAGGAGCTTATTATGTCCATGGGTGCAGAGAAGGCTTTTGATCGGGTAGAGTTGCCTTATTCATTTGAGGTCTTAGAAGAGTTTGTACTTGGAGAGGGCTTTATCAATTTTGTCAATTTTGGTCATAAGAAACCATAATAGTACAACAGCACTTCAAACAGATTCTGTGCAAACAAGATATTTTTTGCATGCTGATGATGATCCTCTTCATCTCTACAAATCTATACTCATGTTAATGTTGATCATTCAACATTTTTGGATCTCTTACTAATACCTTAAAATAACTTAATTACATGTAATTATGTAGCTCTGTATTTATCTGTTTTTAATCTATTAATTGCAGGATTCATCTTAGATCTACTAAGATAATAATAATAATGGATTGCATTTATATAGTGTTTTTCGGGGCCCTCAAAGCACTTTACAATCCCACTATTCATTCACTCACATTTGTAGCCACAGCTGCCCTGGGGCAGACTGACAGAAACGAGGCTGCCATATCGCGCCATCGGCCCCTCTGGCCAACACCAGTAGGCGGCAGGTGAAGTGTCTTGCCCAAGGACACAACGACCAAGACTGTCCGAGCCGGGGCTCGAACTGGCAACCTTCCGGTTACAAGACGAACTGCCAACTCTTTGAGCCACGATCGCTCAAAGAGTTGAGCTCAAATGAGACAGGTTCAATCTGGGCTAATCCCAGGCAGCTCCAACTTTCACCTCCAGCCAATAAAGCAGCCACAGCAGCACTCCCCATTCAATAAAGTAGTTAAAATTGTATTTAAGCACCAGCAGAGAGAAAGTTCACATCAAGCAGATCAATAACTAAATATACTGTGTACTCTGCACTTTGGTTTTCACCGTGGGACATCGATCCATCAGTCCATCCATAATCTGACTCTTATCGCGGGAAAGCGGTCTGAGAAGAAATGCTCAGACCTTCCTTTTGATGTAATCACTCCAGAAGTGTCAGGATTTCCTACTCAGCAGACATGCTGAGACACCTCACCTCAGAGGGATCCAGGAGGTATCCTAGTCTGATGATGAGCTATGGCGCCCTTTGAGGTGAGGAGGGTTGCTTCTCTGGGTTGGGAATGAATGACTGCACCAAGTGGTGGAGTTTAATACAGATATCTAAAAATAATTTGGTTTTCTGAATGCTAACCTGAACTAACGAACTGCTTAATGAAATTCTAGTCGTCTTTCTGTGATACTCACAGCCTGTGCATGCATCTTGCAAACGTTAGCCTATATCCTTCTTTCAAACATATTTGTTTGGACCATGGATGTGACCAAGCACACATTGGTTACATCCATCACTCATATACAATCTGTGCTGTGGGCCATATTGCTTCTATTAAGTTACCTCTGTTCCATTCAAATAAGACCAGTTTGCTCTCCATGGACGGACCAATAATTTTTAGGTAATGTGGATTAATTACAGAAGTCTTGATGATGGAAAGTGATATCCTTGCACAGGAAGTGCAAACTCACCACAGGCACCTTCAATAAGACACTGAGGGCAGATGAAGCTAAATTAGCCTAGGAGCAGGTAATGCATTAGGGTAATGTGATGCTCCAGTCCCTGGAGAGCTATTGGCTCATTTAAGAAGCTGTTTTATTGTATTAGGTGCAGAGCCAAACACAAGCTGGCAGCAGAAGTGTGGGACAGTTTGGCTGCCGCAGGGGGCTGCACCAACAAATCCATCCCTTACAAGCACAGATGATGTTACTCTTTCTGTAGCTATGTGCGCTCACAGCTCAAAACCACATCTGTACTAAAGAAGCAGGCGGACCACAGGGAGAGAGAAGCGCTCCACAGCAGCAGACCAAATGAGCTGCTGTTCTTTTTATGTTACCACAGATCTCCTGGCATATGAACTGCGACTGGATAAAATCTGAGATCCAGACACCATAATGAAAAAATCTCAACAGACACGAGAAAGCTTTAATGGGCTGAGCCAAGATGAAAAAAAACTTGGTGGTGATTAATTCATTTTTCTGAAAAGACTTCACAGCTCGCTAACAGACGATAATAATGAGATTCTAATGAATGATAATTGAGCTTTTTAATGACTGAGGGGCAAGACGGGAACCAGCAGGTGGTGAGGTTGTCCCGTCCCTGTGGGGAGCACCAGACGCAGGCACAAAAACACACCAGCGCTACAGTGACGCCAGTACATGCCTGCTGATGAATGCTTTGGCCGGTAACTCTCAACAAACGTTACACAATCGCTCATTCGTTGATTAAGAAGTTTACGGGGGAAAATCGGGTCATTTCGCCTGCCTGGTTTCACAAAGTTCTTCTTTATGGCTGCCAGCACATCAAAGAGTTGTTTTGGCAGAATATCGCCTGGCGTTTCAGCAGCATTTGTCTGCCCCCTCGCCGTCACACCCCTGCCATTATGTAACTCTAATCATCTTATCTGGCTAATTACTGACCGAGACCCTGAACTCACCTCTAAACCTCATGCACAGCACTTATACCGTGTTTTTCCCACGTTCTCTTCAAATAATACCCCCAAATCCTTTTTTTTTTTGGTTTAACACCAACAGCTGGATATAAATGTAGTTTATACTGAGAGCTTTAATGAATTCAGTGTGTATGTGTATTTGTTTTGCTGTACCTTGTGTCCAGGAAGGGCAGTGTCTGAGGTAGAAGCTGACCTCGGGCCTCCTGGCTCCCCACTGCTGAAGGAGATCCAACAATAACAACTCCTGAGGGAGAACTCGCTCTGAGAACAGACGAAGGGTGAGAAAACATTTGACAAAGATCCCACTAATTACATAACGTCACACTATTGTGTTATAGAGCTAGAAAGAGATCATTCAGAATTCTTACTTTGTTAAACAGCACATTTACAATTTTATCAGGTCGACATGTATAATTTCACTGACTAGTTTCAAAAAATTACCTGTGCACGTCGTGTACGGCCAAAATTGTCTATAAACGTATCCTCCACACATAGATACTGTAAAATATGTCTTTTTTTACAAACTGTGCAAAAGCTCCTTATAAGAGAATGAATAATCTTTGCTTTGGAATAATGAATAAGAATTCAAAATTGCAGCTGTATTGTTGTTGGCTGTACATCAAGCCACACATGAAAGGTTTGCAACATATATGCAGCATATGCAAGACAGCAACCTATCACCATTGTCTGCACAGTGACAGTGAAACGCACAAAACCCCAAACCTCTTTCTGAGTGGAGCGGGGCTTTAAGGATTTATTTTTACCCTTTTTTGCAAATGTTAGTGTGGAAAAATGAAGCCAGAAAAACCCCCAGAGAATCAATATTTTCACAGTGAAGTAAGCCAGCTGTGCCCTTGAGGCACAGCCTGTTGTCACGCACCAACACTCCGCACACAATTTATGCCGCCATCTATTATGTGCTGCTTTACACAGACACTCACGAAGACATGGTGTAGTATTAGAGCCGTTTATATCCTGTCTGGCCGCTCAGTCACATCACAAAGCCGCACAAACGCACCGCCGTTACTGCGCAGGCTTCACCGCGTCGACAGCTATGACTGAATGAATGTGGGCCACGCTTTAATGGACGCCCTCAGTGTGTGAATGAGATGGGCTGGTCTATTCATATAGTAAACTTGGAGCACACAGCACTCTTGATTTCACAAGCTGAAGCCGCAGCATACTGTAGGTCTGACTCGGTTTATAATTAGCTTCACAGCAAGTGACTCAGATCTGAGTTACGCCGTGTCGATTATCCTGTCTCTTAATGCAAGATTATAATCATGCAAGTGCTCCGATGCTCCAAAGACAGACTGCCAGTAGTAATTATATGAGCTGGACTCTTTATGATGAGTGTATGGATAAAGAGATGCACTGTGAGAATAGTCCAGTCCCGTTCAGCTAATTTTCTAGATGTAATATCCTGTCTTGTCTTGGCTGATTTCTAACTTTGGTCAAGATTTCTTACTGATTATGATTATAAGCCTGGGCGCCTCCAGGGTGAGGTGTTCAAGGGCACGTCCCACCGGGAGGAGGCCCGGGGCAGACCCAGGACATGCTGGAGAGATTATATTTCTTGGGTGGCCTGGGAATGCCTTGATGTTCACTCGGACAAGCTGGAGGTGGCCGGGGAGAGGGAGGTCTGGGCTTCTCTGCTTAGGCTGCTGCCCCTGTGACCCGGCCCCGGATAAGCGGAAGATGGACGGATGGATTATGATTATAAGTTAACAGAAGATATGAATAGCGGGTTGTTTTAGGGATACATTAGGGATATCCCCTCTCTTTGACATCACTGAGGCGAGAGCAGAAAACCTGACTTAAACAGAGCAGAACTGAGCTTACAGCTTACTGGGGTTATTTGTACTTACACTGACCTCCTTATTTGAAAGTTTGGTTTTAATATGAGCATCCACCACCGGACCAGAGATGTGACAGAATTTAAGCACCTAAAAGGGCCACTGACACTGATCAAATGATGCCACTTTTCAGCTCCGTGTGTGAATCTGCAGCTGCTGAATAATGCATTCGGCGTCTCCACTTTAAAGCTTTCATGAAGTTAATGTCTTGCATTTGCAGCATGTGCTGCTTTCCTTAAGTGATACTAATCAATAAGCATTATCAACCAATGAATGGACTCACCATGCCCGTTCCATACTTCAGCTAGGTGACACTCCCCCTCACCGGCCTCTTTGCAGTACTCCACCACATCGATAACTCTGGTCGCTGGAGTGACAGGGACCTCAGTTAGCATCTGCTGGGTGTCATTGAGGTAAACTGTCAGGATCACCTGCAATCAAAGAAAAATCAGGTTAATATCACTTAGATATTATTTTATATGGACTCAAACTCAGTAAGATTGTTTCCTATGACTCACTGGCTGGAATCAGATCACCAATCTCCAAATGCTGATTAAATAACTAATTTATCAGCCATATTTAAACTCTTATTTTGAAGGAGTTATTGTGGCTGGTAGCGATGATTACATTCAAAGCTAAAAATCCCAGTATGAAGTCAAGACCACCTCTGCAGCTGGATTTCATTATGTGCAGACAACAGGTGAGTCAGCTGTGATATTCAAGTGAAAAATAAATTTAATACAAAAGTAATGTATTAAAAAAACAACACATGTTAATGTTGGGCGATATGAAGGTGACCAAGGAGCAGGGGCAGATTTTGTCCAACAAAAGCATGATATAGTCCTTCATCCATGTCATCACAACACTGATCTCAGCTTAATAACCTCACAAAATCAATATTGTGAGGTCTCACTTTGAATCCTGAGTTACTGTTTTTCTTTGTTGTCTTTTTCTTGTTTTATTTTGGCGTTTCTTTTCTTTCATTTTTAATGTGAGTTTAATGCGTGTCTTCCCCTCTTTCAGTGGCAGATTCTCTTTGTACTCCATGTGAAGTTTTTTTTAGTGTTATAATTCTGTTTTCTGGTGTTTGCCTCTGAATACTCTTTGTTGGGTTTGCTTGTCTGATTTTTATGGACGTCCTCTTTACTTTTTGGCCCAGTAAAGACTGACTCTTTAATTTGTTTTCGAATCTTGTCCTACTCTATTAGTTGTGACACATAACTGGTTGTACACAGAGTAACACACACGGCCAATTCTCTCTATGACAATGGCAAACCCAGCCTAATCCATCCATCCATCAATCCTGCTTATCCGGGTCTGCGTCGCTGGGGCAGCAGTCAAAGAAGAGGTATCTCCTCCATCTTTGCCTGTGGGTCTCCACCAATTGGGACCTGCCTGAAACACCTCGCTTAGGAGACATCGGGTCAGATGAATGACCTCAACGGGCTCTTTTTAATGTGGAATAGCAGCTCTACTCTGAGCCCCTCCAGAATGATTGAGCACCTCACCCTATCTCTAAGGGAGAACCCAGACTTTCCCTGGAAAAAGCTCATTTCTGCTGCTTGTATCCATGATCTCATTCTTCTGGTCACGACCTAAAACTTGTGGATAGGTGAGGGCAAGATCATCTTTACTACTGCTGCACCAATCTGCCACTTCCTCCCCAGGTCACCAATCAACAAGACTCCAGATCACTTGAACTCCAACCAGGGTGGGCACTCCACTTTGTTCCAGCTGAGAACCGTGGGCTCACTCTCATTTTAGTGTCCGTTTATTTCTGTTAACATAAATAGAAAAAGCACTTTATGATTTTAAAGGTGATCTGCGGAGTACTGATCCCCTCTCAATAATTTTGTTATCAAATCCTGTATATTCTGCAGCCAAAAGATTAAAATGTCAATCAGAAAAGGACATCCTGTGTTATCGTCAGTGATGTCACTGGTGATGTCACGCCAGATAGTCAGCCGGCAGTCGAAAGATAAATTTAGGGTAATCTGGGATAGGAGTGCATCGACACACCACAGCGCTCACAGATACATATACACTTTTTAATCTCAGTGTTGCTTTTTCTTTTTCTCTCACGCACACACACAAACACACACAGTCTTCCTGTGCAGATACTACAGTATGCACACACTCAAAGTATACTCTGTACACTAATCCTCAGTATTCTATATACCTGTCCCAGATCATGTCAAGTAATCTCTGGCTGCATGCAGACGGACAGAGCAGAGACACGGGCTCTAAAGCTTGGATTAGACACACACACATACACCCACGAGTAAACTCCTAAACCCTGCAAACACACCAGGGGTTTTACTCGTCCACAAATCGTTCAAAGTAGGCTAATCGTGGCCTCAGAAGCGCTGTTATGTTTTTCACATGGTCAGAAACATCATTTGTTACACTCACGGGGTGCCGGCTGCAATAAAAGAACATCAAATCATCCAGTGTGCTTTTCTCCTTTAAGTGATTTAATAAAAAAAGACTACACAAAGCAGACAAAGACGAATGCAGTGCAAACACGCTGTCGGTGAATTTCACTAATAATAAATGCTGTATTTGAAACACTGTCTGCAGCACATTTTCTTGTATTTTGACCTTCGAGTGACTGAGTGTGATCACTTATTTATTTACATGTGGCCCTGTAATGTTTTTAATTGTGAAACTGGAAAGTTCGTGGTGTGAGACAATCTGTTTCTCCTAAAACTTTGGCCTGTGAGGGATCATTTATTTCCCAGCATGGCCTTTGGTTTTAATGTCATTTATTGGTAATTAATCAGGCGTCTCATATTAACAGTTATATCTTTCAGATCTTTTAGTAATCTAAATATTTTAAGCGTGTCTCGAGAAATTGTTTCAATTATTACAAATCTACAGTCTTGATGTACAAAGGAAAGTCAAATGAGGGACCGTGCCGAGTGATACAACACAAACATTATAAAAAATGAGGCAGGGCTTTATTGTGGCTGATCAAAAGTCTCAAATACAAAAGTCCAACCAGAACCAGAATCAAAAGAACACTGAATATGCAGAAAAATCAAACAGGAACAAAGCAGCAAACACAGACAGGAACATAACAGATGCTTTGATAAAAGACAAAGAGAAGATGAATTGATTGATGAGCCTTTCTGGAACTAAAACCTCACTGTTGCTCATCTGAACTCAGACTTTCCTGAGAAGGGATGCAAAGAAACCAAAATACAAAGACCAAAGACAGAGTGAGGAACAGAGAGGAAAACACTGAGGGAACCAAGTCTACAGCAAAGAATAAAAATCAAAGCCATAATGTAAAAACAGTAAAATACTGTAGGTGAGCTTCCTCCAGCTCATCTATGGTGCTAGCATCCTGCAATACACGATTCACTCAAGCATAATTTAAAGGTTTAAATGAAACTGTATTTTCTGTTAAACAATCAGATCAGGCTGGTCTAAGCAAGTAAGTTGTATGATTTGTATTTTGTATCAAAATTATTTCAAACCATAACAATTAAAGGAGATCTCAAATTCATCCTTTAAATAAATAAATCAGTTTATTTGCTGAAGCAGTTCAATCGCATGAAGGTAAAGCTGAGCTCTCGGATCCCTCACAGGCTGCCATGTTAACCAGCTGCGTTAAACCTAAAGGCTTGGACACGATGTCTGAGAAGAAAACAAACACTGTTTTGCACTTCGCTGATGTCGTCCTGCATTAAACTTTCCAAAAGCTTCTTCTGGGTTATTATGAACACTGCATAAAAACACGAGCTGGCGCGTACAATAGAAAGCTTTTTACCTCCAAATTCTGTCCCAGCTCTGTCTAACATACTGTCCTCACATAACTCCTGCATCCAAACTACAGTCTTCTTTTACAGTTTACCTGGAACTGAAAACCTTATTATGGTGTCAAACTGAAGCATGAAAAGAAAAAAAGATTTTGTGAGCCACTTTGTTAAGAAATATCTAAGTTTCATGATATCGTTTCACCTCCCATGTAAGAGGCTTCTTCATTTCAAAATGGCGGAAAGTCCCAGGTACCATATATCATACCTACAGCCATGTTATAATAATAGCGCTGTATTGGATTGTAGATTCACCATTTGGTAGCATGGCTACAAGCACAATTTGGGCACCTGTTGCTGACCATGTCCATCCCTGTATGACCACAGAGCTTCAGCAGGATGATGCACCATCTATCTGTCTGTCTGTCAATCTTGTTAACATGGAGATTAATCTTTGTGGAATTTTTCTGGCACCTTGTTGAATCTATGCCACAGAGAATTAGGAAAGCTTGGAAGAAAAAAAAGGAGCCGGTCCAACTCAGTACAAGCAAGGTGTATCCAATGAAGTTACAGGTAAATGTGTATCAGTGACACAAAGCAAAAGATCACAAACCAGAAATTCCAATTTTCTATTTTGCAGCAGCACATTTATGTCCTAACTTTAACTCTATACTTTGTGCACATGCAGACCTCTAAAGTTAACAGACCTTTAGTGACTTTCCTAATGTCAGCAAGCATTTAAAGCAGAGTCAGCCTGAAACCAAAAGAACTGACAGTCAACCTTTGAATAATAATAAAGTTCACGGGGACCAGAACTTACTAGGAAAACCACAATGTAAAGATCAGGAATAAAAGCTTTAGTAACAGAACTCACCGTTAGAATAATAACATAAACCCAAACTAAAAAAATGTTCATCAAGAATCTGAAACTCAAAAGCACCGTGACAGCATGTTAGGATCAGTAAAATCACTTGTACTAGTGCTCACTGATCATGTGAACATAATGACCTCACAGTAATGACAGTTCCTTCCTGGCTATCAGTGACTGAGACACACAGAGGCAGATTGAGCTGTAGTTCCTGAAATGCCTGTGGGGCTGAATGGAGTGACTCGGGCTATTTTCAGCATTAGAGAAGGAAAAAACAGAAAGTCAGATAGAGGAAGAGTGAGCCAGGGTGACAAACAGCCCGTGTTAGTGTCTGCAGGAAACAATCAATGCTCGTTTTATTAGTCATTTTAAAACAACACGTTAGCCTCTATCAGGGCCCAAAACTCAAGTACAGAAAACTCCGTCCAGACCTTTCCTAGCAAAAACTAAATAAAACTCACACAACTAACTTCATCATGTTAGACTGAGAAGAACATATATGAAAAAGCAAAGTAGAGCTCTTCTCTCACTCACCCACTGTTTGCTTTTCCTGGTTTGGAGCTGCTGCTTCTTCTTCTTCTGTTTCCTGCAATTACTCAGTTTGAAGTTTTCAGACAGAAACACCAGCCGCTCCAAAACCAGCCCCCAAAAACGCCTCATTGGAAAATCACTGAGCAGAAGCACACACACCAGCGTGTGTACACGTGTGTGTGTGTGTGTGTGCGTGCATGTGTGTGTTTGAGAGCGAGAGTGAGATATATAATTGATGGTGTCAGACAGAGAAGGTAGTGTGTCTGTAGGT